GACAAAAGCAGACTTCACACCTGTCGGGATCGTTCAGGGCCAAGTGTCTCCGTGTTTTGAAAAAGCCAATCTCGAGACCCATTCACATGACCTCGCTCGAACTGAAAAGTTCATTCGCACAGTTCTTAAGAAGCCTTATAAATCCGACAGGAAATGTTGAAATTTCCAAAAATGTCCACCTAACTGGGCTGATACTTAGTTTGAGTCACCTATAAAATCCACCATTAGGGGAATTCCACGATTTATAAGAAAGTAATTTAGATCTCGTTTTCACTATTCGGTCGTATTTTCAGGGAGATCCAGATGAGTACACCTTGTTATTATAGTAGTAGTTATGATAATTCTCTGCGTGGGATTGTGAACTTGCTGCAGTCCCAAAGGTTTCGTAAGCATCGTCAATAAATCTTGCCATTCACAACATCCAGCTTAAACTCATCAGAGAAAGATGAAATACGTCCCCTAATAAACTTTCTTGAGCAATAATGGTATCTTTGACGAGTTGTAGTTTGGTGCTAAGAATACCACCGACTACGATTTTGGAGAGTACCAAGTCCATGGTCCGACTATAGCGTTCAACTAAGTCTCCCTGACAACACAACCAAGTTGTGGAAACGATGACAAACCATGTCTATATTAACTATAGAAAGTAATTTCTCCTAAATAGCAGAATTTCTTTAATCCTTTTAGGGTGGATTTTAGAAGAGACTCTGAATAAAGCCCAGCCTAGTTAAGTGAAAGTTCATGAAAATATCAACATTTACAGTTTGATCTATAGAAGTCCTTGACACTTATGCGATTAAACTATCTCCCAGTTAGACCCCGTCTCACCGTACCATATATCCCCTGAAAGAGATTCGATACCGGGTCGTGAGCCACAGATGTCATTGACCACAGAGGTAAGCTAGACCGCATTCGAATCACATTTTTATAGTGGGATTGCCAAGAAGGCAAACATGTATTTGCCATTTAAATGTAAAGCATTACTTATTTCCAATGCGAGTAGGCTTCGAGGCCATCGATAATTCTTAAATAAGAATAATAAGTCAGTCTGGGTCGTTTAAAGTAAGTCAAGGACTGATAGTTGACTAAAATGAGATAAGTAGGACTTGAAATATCATGTAAAGAGACGTAGAGCGATGAACCAACTAACTGGATATGCCATCCCCAAGTGGCGGGCTGAGCCGAAAACCGTGGTTGAGGGCTGTCGATGCGTTTGTAGAATCGACAGAGCCAGCGGGCGAGCCGGTGAAAGCAGCCGCCATTGCAGCAGCCGCTGCGGCCGCGGCCGCAGCAGCAGCAGCCGCATTTGTCGTAGGCAGGCCAGACGACAGACGATTTGACGACAGCCGACGACCGTGATGGTAGGCGAACGAGGCGTCCAGCTGCATTGGGCTGTGGAGCTCGGATGTGGCGGTACCGCTGGAGACGCCCAAAAGAGCTAGAGGCAGACCGGGCATAACCGGCTTGGCGGCGGTGAGCGAGGACGAAGGCGAAGACGACGAAGATGAGGCCGACGAGGTTGTTGACGAGGAAGTGGCAAATGGATACCCGGCAACCGGCCCGCCCGGCAGAAGACTGACGGACACCGGGTCGGCCGAGATGAGTCCGGTTAAAAGAGAGCGCCCGAATGCGTCGCCAGGGGCATCCTGACCAGTGTCCAATGCGCCGACTGGTTTGAGACCCGATGCAGGACTTGTGCGCAGGCCAGTCGAGGAGCCCAGTTCGAGCTGAATCGAGTGGTGGTGAAGGGAGGAAGAAGCAGCGGAATGGGGTTGGTGTTGCTGATGATGATGCTGCTGGTGGTGCTGCTGCTGGGGATGAGGATGGGAATGGGAATGGGGATGGGGCGATGAGGCCAATTTGACGCAGTCGAAGGCAGACTCAGTTAACAGGACGTCTGTCTCGAAGGCTACCGCCCCCGGATCGAGGGAAGAATGGCGACTCGGCTGTTCAGAGCCCCCTCTGTCTGGACCAGAGAGAAACGGAAAACACGGGCTACCCACGGAAGCATTGTTGCAGACGAGCGAACCCGCAAGTCCTGTATAAAGGCTGTCACAGACAGTGGGAAAGATGGAGAAAAATAGCATGGTGAACAAAAATGGAGTGGGACGCTAGGAGTTTTAATACAATTTTGGCAAGCCTAGATACAGATCATTTTTTTATTTGTATATAATTATATTTATGTATATATATATATATATATGTTTATTCTACTGTATTCAAAAGGCGATAACAGGCACAGTGCTGTATTGACAAGGTCCCAACCTTCCGCCGACTGATGTAACCCCCGGATCATAGAGAGATTGCACAGATCAACTTGATTTGCCCTTCCAGGGAGAAATTCTCTGGGCCTATTAACTACATTC